AACTCAAGTAGAAAGCAAATGTTTTGAGAATGATGATGGCAACAAATGTACAGATGTGCTTGACACATTGGATGTATGTATGGATTGTGATGAGTTGTACGAGCCCCCAATAAAATGATTAAAAAGAAAAAAAAGAAAACAGAAAAACAATAGAATCCATGAAAATCAGAGTCAGTTCTTTAAAAAGATCAACAAAATTAAAAAACCTTTAACTACACCAGTGGTTCTCAACATTCCTAATGTCGCGACCCTTGAATACAGTTCCTCTAGTTGTGGTGACCCCCCAAGCATAAAATGATTTTCGTTGCTACTTCATCACTGTCATTTTGCTACTGTTTTGAATTGGGAGACCCCAGCGAAAAGGTCGTTCTACCCCGAAAGGTGTCACAGCCCACAGGTTGAGAACTGCTGAACCAGATGGACAAAGAAAGAAACGAAAAGATGCAAATAGCCAACATGAAGCAGGGACTATTCCAACTGACCCAAGAGAAGTCGAGAGAATGGAGACCAATGTGTTATTATTAACAACTGTATGGCAGCCCATGAGCTAAGCTGATGGCATGGACAACTTACTCAAACCTTCTCAAGAGTAAATATCGTCTCAACAGACCCACAAGGAAGAGATCAAATCAGTGATCAAAAACCTCCCAATACAATACCGCTCGATGTGATGGAACTATGGAATGCTATGTCTGTAAGAGCTCCCAATAAGAGGATTAATGAAAAATAAAGGATGTTTAAATAACAAAAAAGCAAACCTCCCAATAACAACAATAAAGCCCCCACTCCCCAACCCCCCAAAAAAAGAAGAAGAAATGTCCCAGGCCAGATGATTTCACTGGGAAATTCTACCAAACATTTAGAGAAGAATTAATATGATTGTTTAAATACCTAGGAAATGAAAAAGATAGATGAGAAAGAAATACTCCAATTCATTCCATGAAGTAAATATCACTCGGATACCTAAACTCAAAGCCACCACATGAAAACTATAGACCACTATCTTTCATGAGTATAAATGCAAAAGTCTTCAACAAAATACTAGCAAACAGACCCTAAGAGAGTCACACACCACAACGAAGTAGGATTTATTCCAGGATGGTTCAACATTAGGAAATCAATCACCCCCCCACCCCCAACCCCAAGGGGGACTGATAGCAGAAATGTGGGTGAAGGGAGACAACGGACAGTGTCAAATATACAGCAATGATAATAATATATATTTGATCAAGAATTCACGAGGGTGGGAGGGCGCGGGAGGGCAGGGGTAAAAAGAGGAGCTGAACCCGAGGGCTCAAGTAGAAAGAAAATGTTTTGGAAATGTTGATGGCAACTTATGTACAAGTGTGCTTAATACAACTGAATGATGGATTGTTACAAGATTTGTAAGAGTCTCCTAATAAAATGATTAAGAAAGAAAGAAAGAAAATGAATGAGGAGAACAAAGGACAGGACAAGACCACACAATCCTATCTACGGATGCAGAAAAGCATTTGATAAAATCCAACCAACACCATCTTGACGCTGAGACTAGAAAGGAAATCCCTCCATGTGATTCAGGGCACATGTGAAAAGCCAACAGCCTATTACAGTTATCAGAGAAAGACAGCATTCCACTTAAAAGGGAGAACGAAACAACAAGGGTGCCCACTCTCACTGCTTCTATTTAGTGTTGCATTACAAGTCCCAACCAGAGCAACAAGACAAGATAAAGAGAAAAGAAGGTATTAAGATTAGAAGAGGGAAAAAAAAAAAGATTAGAAGAGAAATAAAATGCCCTCATTTGTGGATTATATGACCCTATCTATGAGTTAGTGCATACTCAATCACAGTGAGGTTATTTGGTTTGGGATATTGAGAAAAATCTCAGCATCCACAAGAAAGCCCCTGCAGTTGGTAGAGTCCTTTAGCCAAGTTGCAGGGCACCAGATCAAACAAAGAACTCAGCTGGTGTCTAGACACCAGCAATAAGAACTCTCACAGGGAAATTAGGGAAGGAACTCCATTTATGATAGCATCTAAAATAATCTGATACTAGAAAGAAATCTAGCTAGGGACATGAAAGGTTGACACGATGAAAACTATTAAACACTGCTGAAAGAGATTCAAGACGATTTAAGTAAATGGAAAGTTGGTCCCTGATTCATGGATTTGAAGACTTCAATATTGTTAAGATGTCAATAAGACTCAAAGCAATCGATAGAGTCAATGCAATACCAATGAAATTTCCACAGCCTTCTTTACAGAAAAATCAATCCTCATCCTGATATGAAATGACAAAAACAATGCTGAAAGAGAAAAAAGCACAGTAAGAGGACTCCCAGTTCCAGCTACCAAGGATCCCTGGTGGTGCAGCAGTATAAACAATGGGCTTAAGGGTCCATGGTTCAATCCCATCAGCCCCTTGGTGGAAGATCTGCTTTTTCCTTTACAGTCTCGGAAACTCTATTCTACTCTGCCCGACAGAGTTGCCACGAGTGGGGATCAACTCAATGGCAGTGGCTTTTGTTTGTTTGTTTGTTTTACAGCGGCAGTAAACAAAACAGCCTGGTACAGGTATAACAACAGACACATCGGGGTAGAATTGAGAGTCCAGAAATAAACCGACAGGTCTCTGGCGAACTGATTTTTACAAGGGTGCCAAGACCATTCCAGGGGAAAAGAAGAGTCTCTTCAACACATGGTGCTGCAATGATTAGAAGTCCATATGCAGAAAAATGAAACAGGACCTGTGCCTCACTACATATACCATCATAATAACAACAATGGACTGAGGAACTACATGTGCTAACTCCCTAAAAAACGCATTGCCATCGAGTCGATTCCAACTCATTAGACAGGAGAGAGTGAAACTACCCGGTGAGGTTCCCAGACCGGAGCTCCGCCTTACAGGAGTAGGAAGCCTCCTCTCTCCCAAGACCAGCCCTTCAACTCCGCGCCCACAAGGCAAACTGACACCCAAAGATTCCTAGACGAGCAAGGAGGGGCAATACTGTCGGAACAAGTTTTCAACAATGGGTTATCTGATATACCAACAAAATCGCGAGCAGCAAAGGACAGCATAAACAAATGGAACCTCATAAAATTAAAAAATTTTTGTTCGTCAAAAGTCTTTACCTCCAAAAAAAGACAAAGTACCAACTGGGAGCCCCCCTTCAAAAACCACATAGCAATCCAATAACCAAAACATATGAAAAACGTCAACAACTTAAGAACAAAAGGACAAATAATCCAATCATAAAATAGACAAAGAATTTGCATAGACTTTTTGCCAAGAAAGGCATTCAAATGGCCACCAGACACATGAGAAGATGCTCAGCGTCACCAGCCATCAGAGAGCTGCACGGGAAAACCACAAATAAGATACCATTATACGAACACTGGGATGGCTTCCACCCCACCCCCAGCCTCCACTATCATGACCCCAGTCCTGCCTTTCACTGCGGGCTAGACCGGAACATGTGCACAGGTGTTATCATAAGAGATAAGAGCTCACGACACACGGAATGCAGCAACAGGAATGGGAGCGGAGATACCAGGAGAGCAGGGGGAAGGTGAGGAGAGGAGGGGAGGAAGGGGGAACCGATCAGGATGACCGGCACATAACCGCACTCCCCACTCCCCCCAGGGGAATGGACAGAAACCGTGGGGGAAGGGAGACAGCAGTCATTGTAAGATATGAAAATAATAATAATTTTTATTTATCAAGGTGCCACGTTGGGGCAGGGAGAGCTGATACCAAGGGCCCAATAGAAAATAAATGTCTAGAAAATAATGAAATAATGATGGCAACATATGGACAAATGTGCCCGATACAATTGATGTATGGATTGTTATAAGAGCTGTCAGAGCCCTCAATAAAATGTTTTTGTTAAAAAAAAACAGAAAATGACATGTTGGCAAGGGTGGGGGGAAATTGCCCTTATCCACTGCTGGTGGAAATGCCAATGGTCCAGCTGTTGTGAAAAACACTATGGCAGTTCCTAAAACACTAAAACTAAAACTACCTCATGACCCAGAAATTCTCCCAGGTATAGAACCCAAAGACTGAAGAGCAGACTCCAAATGAGACGCAGACACCAAAGTTAATCGCAGCACTATTCCAAGTAGCTAAAGACTGGAAATAATCTAAATGCTCATCATCTGAATAGATGAATGGATAAATAAAATGTGGAACACAACAGATAAACAAAACAATATAGATAGACAATGGAATTTATCCAGCAAGTAAGAAATCTATAGTGTGGTTGGAATGTGAACACGTTATGCCATCCGAGGCACAACAATTGGCCTTTGTTACCTAGTCACCGAGGAAGAAGCAGAGTTCGCGGAGGAAGAGCACTGGGACTCCATGCCTGCTTGCCTCATGAACAACTGCCTCCCTTTTGCCCTGAGCCCAGAACACGGGGATGGCGCCTGGCTGCCATTTTTGAACATTTTGATAAAAGATTCCTGAAAGAAATGGGAAGCAGACATCCGGGGCTCAAGTGGGAAGAGAATGCTTCGAAAAAGATGATGGCACGGACCACCGAAAAGTGGGTGAAGGGAGACGTCGGACAGGGCAAGATATGACAAAA